TTTAAGTGAAATTTGACACAAACTTGATCCAATTCAATCAACATAATGTTAGTGTCTATGTCAGGGTCTGCTCCTTGCATTTAGAGCTAGATTATCCACAAGGCCACCAAGTCAGGTGCCCAGGGCGTGGTGGATGTGTAGAGGGCCCAGCTACAACCTTCATGTTCTTGCAGTAATCTAGAGGGGCATTTTTTCTTTTAGAATTTTTTTTTCAAGTTATGCAATTGTGAAACAATAAGACCACATTCAAATCTGAGCGTAGCAAAAACGCGTGTTTCTGAGTGCCTTTTCAGAATGCACAAAAGAAACATGCCAAAACACAGAAAATGTGTGTGATTGCCATTCATTCTTAACGGCACCCAAAATGCGCTAATAAAACTGGGCGTCTTTTCACATGACAAAAGGCACAAAACGCAGAACATGTGAGTAGGTGCCCTTCATTCTTAAAGTGCTAAAAATCTTCGCATTTTGTTACATGACAAAATGCACAAAAAATACAATGTTTGAGAAAGTGCCAAAGTCAGCTTCAAAAAAGGGTACAGGAGCTTCTTGGGTGCATTTTCGAATATTGAGCAGCTCGTTCAATGGAATGGGCTGCCCTTCACTGTCACGCAAAAAACATGCACAGAAACTGCATGTTGCTCAGATGTGAATGGGGTGTAAGGGATGGGCATACATAGGGGTGGAATTCAGAAGTACTAAAGGATCTGTTGATCTCGAGAACAGTCTATGTACTATAATTCTGGAAATATGAAAAAATCTAACTATAAAAAAAGTATTAAAATTAATTCTAATGTGATTGGATCCACTTGGAGGCCTTTCCCCTGAAACACGTTTGCTGTATTTGATGCTCTTAACCAATAAAAGTCTAAAACAGTCATCTGAGTGATATGAACTTTTGGAATATCAATACTATATCCTGTATTGGATGGAGGTCAGCAGGAGGAACCAGCGAGAGCTGTGGGAGAGCCCAGCATACCGCATCTCCTGGAAGCAGGGGCGGACTGACCATTTGGAAACTCAGGCACTGCCCGAGGGTCCGGGGTCAGTAGGGGGCCCCATGAGATGCCCTGGTACCTATTTCATAGGCTTTTTTGAGTTTGGGCAAGGACACAGGGGCCCCATGATCCCCTATTGCCCGGGAGCCCTATGAGTTGTCAGTCCGCTTCTGTCTGGAAGTGTTGTTTTTAGTGTCGGTTCACACCAGGAATCGCACAGGAACGCACTCCATGTTCCTGTGTGATTCAGTGTGATGTGATCTTTAGCTCATTCATTTAAATTGCTAGAAATTGCACCAAAAGTTGTGCCTGTACTACTTTTATAAACGCACTGCAACCGGATCGCATGGTACTGCGGTACTATACAATCCAGTGCAGGCTAATGCACTGTTTGCAATCTGTGTTTGGGGTGTCATTAGGAATCTATTGACATCAGCAGCAGATTGCACAGGCAGTGCGTTTAGAATGCGGTGCAGGAACCATGCACGGAACGAGGCTTTCTAGCACCGCATTCTGATGTGAATGGGCACTTCTCAGCAATGGAGCAGAGACTGATAACTTAGGCAGCTAGAAAGGTTACTATTTACAGACTTTCTTTACCATAGGTTCACACCTAAGTGTGAGCAGCATTTTGCAGAAACGTAATAAATAATAAAGGAGTAATAGTGAGCGCTTGGTTATAAATAGCTGCTTGCATTAAGGGAAAACTCTCACCCTCAAAACGAATAAATATATAAAATGCAGCGCTAAAATAACATATAGTGATTGACATGAGAGCTTGATTTCTTTGACAAGGTGCACACGCACGAAACGCGTGAGAAGGAGCCTTGCCTCATTGACGTCACGCCGCAGAGGCCGCATGGAAGGCCGGCGGCCATTTTGACTATTCCCAAGAGTGAGTGCTGACAGCTATTCATTGCTCTGTTTTTACTCTGTTCCAGTTTATCCAATAAAATACTACACTCTTAGCACATTATTGTTTCTGGATTGTCACTAACGAGCCTCCAAGGTGGAGAGATTCCTGATTTTCTGAGCTGTTTTATCCGGTGATGTGGGAGTATCATGGAGCTGTCCCTGGATGCTGAGAGGGTCCTGTGAGAGAGATCTGGAGTTGCCTTGTATGCTGACTGTGTGCTAGATGATTCCATCATCCTTACCTGTACCCAGATGACCACAAGGGATAATATATATACATGCGTTTTATTTTTGCGCTTCTGGGGAGTGCAATCATATTACCAGTTACAGATTTCACTAACACGGATTCCACAGATTTTTGGACTTTAATTTATTTTGCTGATTTAATGTCATTAATATTTACCAAACACCAAAATCACTCTTTATTTAATTTATTAATTTATGACGGTACACTGTATACTTTTATATCACTTTTAGTGCAATTAAGCGCTCACATCAGTCACTATATGTTATTTTAGCGCTGCATTTTATATATTTATTTTGCAGAAGCGTACTACAGTCCATTTAACATGATTTCCTATGGGACACGTTCACATCTCCACATTTTCACCTGGTGCGTTTTTTGAAAAGGTTCAGGAACTTTTTTGAACGCAAAAAGCTGCGTTTTTGGTTCTATAGCCATCAATGGAAATGCTGCAGAAAAGCACGTAGTGCGTCTTTGCTACGTTTTGCATTTTAAATCTGCCTAGCAACAAGAAAAAAAACGCATCAAAAACATAGGTGCAAAAATGCAAATCGCAATGCAAAATTGAATGGGTCAAAAGCAAATTACATACGTAGGTGTAAACCTAACCTTAGTGGTATTATTTTATCATATATATCAACACCTAACATTTATAGGTAAAGTTGATCCAGGGAATATCCGATTGCTTCTCGGGGGGATCAGGAAGAAATTTTTTCCCCTGCAGGAGCAAATTGAATCAGGCTTTGCTGGGATTTTTTTTGCCTTCCTCTGGATCAACTATGGGTATTAGCATTATAATTTTTTTTTTTTTAATGGTTGAAATGGATGGACTTTTGTCTTTTTTCAGCCAGACTAACTATGTAATATTAGGACAGAGTAACTTTATGCAGCTGATATCAAGCGCCCCCCCATCATATATGCATGCTGACGTTGTGATCGAGTCATCATGGTGTCATCATAGGGTGTCTGAGCACCTGAAATTAGTGTGAGAGTGGGAGCGGGCATAAATTATTCAGTGCAATGAGTAACAGTGCCACCTGCTCTCTATGTAGTCAAAGCAGAGGAGCTATCCGTATGTATCAGTGACATGGCTCTGTTCAATGGCTTCCCCTTAACATCTGAGACTGACTACACTAAAACATAACATCATGTGAACACTGCAATAAAAAATGTTAGGTAACATGAAAAATGTTTGTCTGCATTGTGTATATGTATGTATGTATGTATATATACTTAGTGCTGCCTTTGTTACTGTAACTGAAGTTTACTATTTTTATTAAAGCGCTAGAAAACCATAGGTTAAAGTGTTACTAAACCCACAACAGTAAAATCAGTCTGTATATGCAGAAATGCTTGTTATACTCACTGTGGAATCTAAGGGGTTAATCCTCTGCATTGTGTAACAAGGTCGTTTAAACCTTTCGTCTCTGTTCCTTCCCCTTTTCAAGCAACCACCTCTTATCTCCCGATAAGACAGACTGAACCGTGGGCATTTTTCACATGCTCAGTTTGGTATGTATTGCTAGAGAGGTTTTTTTTTTTCTTGGGAGAGTGCATGTGATCAGCACAGGGCCAATCAGCACTGCCCAGACAGAGATCAGGGGTTTTGTATCCTCCTAGAGCAGAAAGAAAACTCCTCCTACAAGCTTTAGCTAGTGCTTGGCTGAACACTGATTGAAGTCACAAGACTGCTGTAACTGCTGATGAGAAAAGGTGGGAGACAAGATATAGTGGATCCAGTGTCCTGGGTTTAGTATCACTTAAAAAATAAAAAAAAAAATCCCCTGCAAGGTAATGTCATAATGTGCTAGTCTGCATCGCATACTAGCACATTAGAAAGGATTTACCTTAAAACTAAGCCCTCCAGCGACACGCTGTCACTGCTAACAGGGCTTCCATCTTCAACCGGTCTTCCTTCCAGGTTTCGTGATCTCCGGCCGTCTGACTGGCTGAGCCACGATGACGTCACTCTCCCACAAGAACACAGGAGTCTCAAGCCACAGCACAGTGCTCTGAAGGAACGGCATGGGCAAAGTGCATGCGCCGGCTATCAAAAAGAGTGAATATCTCCTAAACGGTGCACGCTTAGGAGATATTCATTTTACCTACAGGTACACTTTATTGTAAACTTACCTGTAGATGAAAGTTTTAAAGAAGAGTTTAATATCTGTACAAAGTGAAACATTATAGATTTCCGTTACAAAGTTTTGCCAGGCTGTCTTTAGATTCAGTTCTGATTCTAACCAATTACTAGTATGAAGGCAGAGAGGTCAAAGTTAAAGAGAAGCTTCAGTGTGTTTGAGAAAAATGTAAAATACTGTAGCTGTCCAGGAATCCAGCGCCATCCTCATCCTGACCCAGCTCCTGCGCCCCTCCCTTCATCTCTCTACATAGTATTTAATGTAGCTTCTGGGAGAGGAATGAATGAGAATACTATAGGGTTTTACCTGAATGACAGCTCTGAGTCTGCTGGGGCTGCTGGCGTCACATCCAACATGGCGGAACTCAGCAGCAGTCTCAGAGCTTTTGGATGTCTACACAAGGAAGACCTTTATATGATCTTATGGAAATATTGTTGTTAAAATTATTTGTCTGGTGACAGCTATTGGAGGCAGAAGCTGGGAGTAAGGTAGGTATAATTTTCGTACTTTTTTTTCCACAGTTTTTGTTTTACTACACTGTAATATGACAGTTTTGGTAAGGGGGGTGGGGGGAGGGGTGCTGAGGTAATAAGGGGATATTGCCCTTAGTGAAGATCTATTGAACTGTACATTTAATTTGTGTGCATACATCTGTGCAAATTATATTTCTGCTAATAGTCACCCTTCCTTCCTTCTTCCCAGCTGAAGTGCAGAGTGAAATAGAAAGAATATTTGAGTTGGCTCGTTCATTACAGCTCGTTATTCTAGATGCGGACACCATTAATCATCCGGCACAACTAATCAAGACTTCATTAGCACCGATAATTGTTCACGTCAAAGTGTCTTCGCCAAAGGTAAATGAGTATGGAATCTGGTGTCATTTTTATAGGATATATCCATCTTTGTGAGCTTTTTCTATTATAGTATTTTTATTATTATTATTATTATTATTATGAACCCTGTATATTTGCAGTAATAATCTAGATACATATTCACAGCCTTTCTCAACCTTTATATTATGGTGGAACCCTTGAAAAAAATTTCAGGTCTCCTGAAATCCCCACTAAACAAAGGTATATCTATGGCTCATGATACATTAATGTGACCAGTGAGCTGTAGATATAGTCATAAAGGGGAAAAAAAGAAATGTGGTGTACCTAGATTATTTGACACCCAGAGCAGATAATTTTTTTCACATCTCCCATAATCTAATCGATAAAATGATTTTTAATAATGATCATAAAATTAAAACGTAATCATGGCAGGGAAAGAAACCCTGACAGTGAAAATTGTAGTGCTCCATTACATTGGTGGTCAGTGGCACAATCAGGGCACATTTTATGAGCACGCTCTGCAGTTTCCAGTAGACCACACCATGAAGATTAAGAAACAGGGAAGGGTGAGGGGCAGATTTTGTTTGTTGGAGGGATGCGGGGAGGGTTATTTAAGAGGAGGGTGAAAGATTTGTGTGTGTGGGGGGGTATGGCGGATATTTAATATCGAACACAGAGCTCATTTTTAAATCCAAGAAAGTTCCCCAGAAACTTAAAAAATGAGCACAAGAACATCAACACCGCTCTCTGCATAATCGGTGACCACCAACCCCCACATATGATTGAGAGAGAGAGATTGCTATATGTCACTTGACCACCTAAAGACATTTTGAAAAGGTAATTATATAAAATAATAATAGTAATAATAAATAAATAAAATAAAAAAAAAAAACAAGACACTTTGGGGTTTATTTACCAAAGCTGGAGAGTCCAAAATCAGACTCCCTTCTGCATAGAAACCAATCAGCTTCTAACCTCAGCTTGTTCAATTAAGCTTTGGCAATGAAACCTGGAAGCTGATTGGTTTCTATGCAGAAGTGAGTCTGATTTTGCACTCTCCAGCTTTAGTAAATAAACCCCTTTGGGTTGAGTTGGAGACTTTAAAGGACTCCAAAGACATGCTGGTAAGTTAATTGGATCCTGTCTAAATTGGCCCTAGTATGTGTATGTATGAATATGAGTTAGGGACCTTAGATTGTACGCCCCTTGAGGGTTGGGGACTGATGTGAATGTACAACATATATGTAAAGCGCTGCGTAAATTGACGGCGCTATATAAGTACCTGAAATAATAATTGTACTTAACAACATTAATCGTGTAAGGAGGAACTAAGTGTAGGGCTCTCATCCCCTAGTGCTATATCAGACATACTGACATTATACAATACTTGTGTTTTTAATCTGTGAAACATCAGAATTAAAATCTGTTGATCTCCTTGCAGGTTTTGCAGCGGCTTATTAAATCTAGAGGAAAATCCCAAAGCAAACACCTAAATGTACAGTTAGTAGCTGCTGACAAACTTGCACAGTGCCCACCAGTAAGTATTGACCTGATTATATGTTATTGCCAATATCCTGTTATATTCCTGATCTAAGGAAGTGAGCTTTGTGACTTTCAATCAACATTCCTAGAAAAGCAAGCTTTCAGTTTTTTGGAGACTAGAGACACAATAATGGGTTCAGCATTTCCTTTTGAATATTGGATTATCTTTGCATCATTCATTTTTACATTAATCTGTTCTACTTTCCTATAAAGGCAATTTTTATCCCGATTTTACTTCCAGTTTTTGGTGAACCACAGTGGGTTAAAGTGTATGTAAACCCTCACCTTATCAAACCTTATCAAACGAAAAGCAAAACCTTTGTGTATACATGTAAAAAACATTATAAATACCTTTTTTCCAAATTTTTTATACGTATGCCCTCTGTTCTCAGCTGCATAGAGAGCTGTGGGAGGAGAAACAGTATCACACTGATCTTCCCAGTGAATGGCTGTGCAGGAGGTGATGTGTCACGACAATTCTGATCATTGGTGGAGAGCACACTGAGTTCCCAGCACAGCTAGAGAACTGACCGCACTGTGCTCTCATGACAAGTGTAGTCAGTTTTTGATAGGAAAGCAGAGGGACTGGCGGGAACACCAGGATTTTCACACAAAGGAAGCAATACAAAGAGAACAGGATACTTTTTCATACAAGTACATGGTACAGCAGGAAAATATCAGGATTGCGACACGTTGGTTTGACATATTATTTAAAGCACCCCTACCTTATTATATGAGAATATCACTGGCAATACTTTCTTGCTGTAATTTGTGTTCCCCCCCTTCACAGTACCAATGTTGTCACTTTCATCAAGCCAATGTAAAACTAAATTGCCAGCAATCATTAAATTGTAAAATAACAGCTTTGCATGGGGTTGACCTTTAAAGACATTGTTCCTGTTTGGATCCATGAAATTTCTAATCATCTACCCAATACCAATATTTAACTTTTGGGCGTGTATCACCTGTACTATTTATGCTGGATTTTACTGTCCTTTTTTGGATTTTTCAAAAAAGCTATCCATGTGTTTTACTATGTATTTTAGGTGCCTTTTCTGTTACATTGTAATACATTATTGAAATCATTCATTCTTAAATGTATTTTGACATTCATCTTGTGTTTGCATTTTCTGAGGTGCAAGGGTAGTTCATGTATGTTATGCGCAGCATTCCTTGCATCAAAGCATACAGTATATTAAATGTATACTTGCAATTCTATTGATTCTTTTGGGAAATACAGCATGCAGACTTCAAAATACTCCACATGAAAATGCATGGGAGAAAAACGGCACTACTATGGTCTTCACAATGGTGCAGAACCCTCCATGTGTTTTGGGTTTCATGTAATTTGCATGCAGTTAAAGCACAGAGGACTAGATTACCCCTTATTTTATTTTTAACATCTCTTCAAAGACTTAAAGAGAACCAGTCACCAGTTGTAATGATCCAAATCCCCATCCTTGAATTGTTTTAATAAGGCAGCCTTACCTGTCAGACAGTAAGTTTAATTATTACTTGTATTCTCTCTCTGTCAAAGCAGGTGTGTTAGGTTTTGTGTAGGCAATAAAGTCAACTTATATCCAACAGCCGAAACAGAGAGTCAGGTATCCGGAAGGAGCTCAAGATAGGTCAACCCCTGTGGGAGCCCTACAGCCTGATAAGGGGCTGACAATTTGGCTGTGACAAGAAGAGAATATAACCGAATAACTGCATACATAGTTATCCCTTTAAAGGTGAGGTTGCTCTGATATAACTACTCAGGAGTGAAGATTTGGATTCTTACATGGCTATTCCAGGCTGGCTCTGTGCAGAGTGAACTAGAGAGTCATTTTAAATGTAAAAAAATAAAGATCCTTCCTAAGATCAGACAACACGTTTTTACTAAGTGCTTTACTTGTGGGGTAAGCCCCATCCACCTGCCTGTACCCAGTGTTCTCAATGGACAGGGAAATTACAGTTGGGTGGAACTCAACCCAGACGTCAAGAAAATATCCGTGCATCCTCATGTCTATGTCATGGCACATGTCTCTAGTGGAAGTAATGTGTGTTTTGTTTGTTTTGATAGGAAATGTTCGATGTGATCTTGGATGAGAATCAGCTAGAAGATGCCTGTGAGCATTTAGCAGAGTACCTAGAAGCGTACTGGCGAGCTACCCATACCACGAGCAGTACTCCCATGACACCCCTTCTGGGAAGAAATTTAGGATCTACTGCGCTTACATCAATACAGGTACCAAGGTTAAACTCAGGAGGATTAAAGGAGTTTCCTGCAGTAAAAGACCTGTCAATACTGCTCTGTCTTCTTGTGCAGGGTGACTGGTCTGGTTTCCGCCTCCTCCTGTAGTTTTCTGAAGACAACCTATAGTTTGTGGGGCTTGTTGGGTCCCTCCCACAGCTCTGTTATCTGCACAGGCTATGTACAGCCCAATAATGATGTCATTGCTATTTTTACATGCGATACCTGGGTTTACAAAGTAATTTTGTGTTCTCAAAGTGGGTTTATATTATTTATTATATTATTTATTGCTCTTGAGCAATATATTTATATGAAAGTTTGTGTGTCCAGTCCAGCATTTAGTGTTAGTGTATCATGGTGACATCTCCCTTTCAGCAGTAGCTGAACTTTAAAGAAGAATTCCAGATATTGATATTTTATACATAGTTACATTGGTTCACCTTGGACCAATGTAACTATGTATGTAGCATACCTGGTCAATGCCCCTGGAAAATGAAAATCACTTGAGTAGACACTGCTACTCCACTGATCTCCACTAGCTTCCAGATCCCTCTCCAAGTTACTGCTGTGCTGCATTCTGAATACAGGAGGACAGGCATCATTCAAAGAATGATTTGCATTTTCTGAATGAACACAAAGAGGGTTATTTACTAAGTCTGGAGAGTGCAAAATCTGGTGCAGCTCTGCATAGAAACCAATCAGCTTCCAGGTTTTATTGCCAAAGCTTAATTGAACAAGCTGAAGTTAGCAGATGAATGGCTACCATGTACAGCTCCACCAGATTTTGAGTGCACCAGTTTCCGTAAATCTACCTCATCCAATCAGAGTGTTCTCTGATTGGATGAGGTGGGGTAGTGACATCATGCTCTTCACCTTGTCCAATCAGTGATTGCTTTGCATTAATTTAGAAGTACCAGGGCCAGTGGCTAAATGCAGCAGGGCAGCCACTCAGTGCAGGACCAGGAAGTAAGTAGAGATCACTGGAGTAGCAGTGCCTACTTTACTTACATTAGTCCAAGCTGAAGCAATGCAATTATATATAAAATTCTTCTTTAACTTGTACCATTACAAAAATGTAGAAAAATACTGTCACATAACTGCAGGCACTATAATATCCCAGTGCAAACCATGAGAAACTAAAATAGCCTTAAATAGCACCTCACCCTAAATTTGATCTGCAAGGACTGATTTTCTTGTACTAAGAGAGTAGGTGCATCCTCATCCCAAGTCCTGCAATGCTCTCTGCACTTTGGCTTAACATTCCTTCTCCACCTAATTACCATAATTTGCAGGAATTTCTTTCAACAACACAAGCAAAACAGAAGGGCGCACAAGCCTAGTGCATTAGCCTTAACATTTTATTAGACAATAAAAACGGGTGACTACTTACTCACAAGTGCCAAAAGGTAAAAACAGCATGGTATTCCAGAAGATGGAACTCACATGGTCCTAAAATGAGCCAAACTATCCTCTGATGCTTTTCGAGGGACATGCCCTCTTCTTCAGTGCAAAGAAGTGTTGATGGCAATGCACTAGGCCTGTGCCCCCTTCTTCAGTGCAAAGAAGTGTTGATGGCAATGCACTAGGCCTGTGCCCCCTTCTTCAGTGCAAAGAAGTGTTGATGGCAATGCACTAGGCCTGTGCCCCCTTCTGTTATTTTTGTGTTGTTTTAAGATTCCCTGATCTCAAGAGGGCAGCCTTGGGGAAACATTCCTATTTCTAGCTAATGGTCACATTCCACTACAGTCCATTCAGTTTCTCAACAATCCCGTTAGCACTCCTGTGTCAAGGATTTGTTCTTTGTTGGGAGTTGCTTTCACTTTCCTAAAATGGTACAAGACATCAGGTTTAAAACAAAATTAATTGTTTGAAAACCCCAATACTGCATATACCTATAACAAAACTCACAGCGGCCTACAAAAGCTCTCAGACAAATAATTTCTTCTGTGAATTGCCAGATTTCCAGTCCAGGCCAATGTATGACATTACTTATTTAAACTTTCTTGTTCAGTTGTTTCTTTACTGTAGCATGACCCTAAATAAATTGTACTAATAATATGAACTAACCGCAACCAAAATTTGTAAACACAGATATGAATTGCAAAAGAGGTCAAATCTAGGGAGGGTGTAAAGTAGAAATTTTGATCCATCCCCCCCCGTGCTTCCATGCTTTCTTCAGCATTTCAAAGCTTTTTTACCTTAACAATCTTCTTGTTCTTTGGGGTATTGCAGAGTCAGCGCATGAGGCACACAAACCATTCAACTGAAAATTCCCCGATCGAAAGACGAAGTTTAATGACTTCAGATGAAAACTACCACAGTGAAAGAGCTCGGAAAAAGCAGAAACCGCTTGTCTTCCAGTTCCCAGCATAGTCGTGACCATTACCCTCTTGTGGAAGAAGAATACTCTGACTCCTACCAGGACACTTATAAACCTCACCGGAACCGCGGCTCTCCTGGAGGATATAGCCATGATTCCAGGCACAGGCTTTGAGTTTTTTTCTTCCCTTTTATTTCTTTACTTAATTTTTCTTTTTCTTTTTTAATTTGGAACTTGACAAAATGTAATTGGTCGCTGACCAATTTGCTGCCCAGACATCAAACAAATGCATTGTTTGCTGAGGCTTAGCAGGCCTGACGGGCAACAAAAAGGTCATGTGACTTGCAGAAACATGAAGTAGATAGAAATTACAGACCACTTTATTTTGCCAGCTGTAGGAGTGTCACTCGATGCTGCATCACAGGCAAAATACCATATTCATATAAGTATATACGTGTAGGTAGAGATTTATTGTGCCCTATCCACAGGTCTTTTACTTTGACATTACTATTAGAGCAGTATGTGTTTACATGGAGTATTGCACACATCCATTTGTAACCTAGGGCAACAGTTCTCTGCCTTAATTCTCAAAGCTCAGGGCAGTTAGACGCTTGTTGGGTCTCCTCACATGAGCAGACAAAGCCGGCCTGTAGTACAAGAAAGTCCGTCAGAGTGACCAAATCACAAACATAGGACCTACTGACAACTTTGAAAGTGTACCAGACTTTCCTGACAGTATACCATTCAGTTTACCTATGGGGGCACACAGCCCATTTACCAGGTTTGTCATAATTACTAGTTCACCGTAAGTGTAGGTCTCTTTGTGTAAGCAAAAAAGAGCCTACTGAAAGAATAGGCAATGCCAAAGTTCAGTTGTGTACCTTGAAAACCACTTTGAACAAGTTCCTTCTAGGTCCAGCAGAAGGCCTGCTCTCGTGAGTAGAAACAGGGCCTACCGATAGTGTAGATCACAATATGTGCCCAGTAAGGCAGTTTTACTCTGCCACTTAAATGACTACAGAGTAGTTCAGTACCGTTCTGCAGAATTCAGATAATACATACTGTATATAAAAGAATCCTATCTGTAGTGAAAACTTAATTTTCTATTATTCTCCCTGTAGACCTGCTTATAAATAGATTTGAAAATTGATAAAATAAGGGACAATTTACCATTAGTTCCTGAGGGTTCTATTGGCAGGCTTTTGTTCACTTTAGGTGGGCTTTGCATTTCTATACAAGTCTGTGAACACAGAACTTGCTTGAAGCAGGTCAGCTGCAGATCCAGTGCACCTGTCAATGAATTCTAAATAATCTCAGAAGCATCTAAAACCAATGTCAAACTGATGTCATTGATACAAGCCCAAAGCCTGTTAACCCAGGCTATAAATCTTACTATACTTAGACTATACTTAGTTGCAGTCTAAGTTTCCATAGGATAAGTACAGGCCTGAACATGGCAAAAGGGCAATAAGTCTTCTGGCATGAGCAAAAAAAACCCAATTACTTTGTTGGAACATCCATCAAAGTGGCTAATTTACCAGAAGGTGACCAGTAGCTGAATGCTCCTTATTGAATCATATCAAATTGAAGCTTTAGTAAATGTAAAAACAGCCATTTTATGGGTCAAAACTATCACTGCACTGAAAAATAGTGATGTTTTCAATTACTAGAGAATCATTATGCCAGATCTTGGTTAAGAGTATCACAGTGACCCATCAGCCAATGACCTCACAATTTACTGCATCACTGATATTGGTTTCCAGTCAATTGGCTGCTTCTGTGTGATGATGTAAGACAATTCAGATAAACAAGCCTATCGGTACCTAGTCAATACATAGAACCCCTGCTTTTAGTGATTTCTATTGGCTGCAATAGTGTATGTCCATAGTTGCAGATAGACCTGCACTAGCTAGATACTGCCACAGTGACAAGTCTTCATTAAGTACCAATGCAGCCTAACAGTATCCATGTAAGGACACTCCCTAAGCTCAAACTGCCTTTGATTTCTTGATAATCTGAATGGGGAACTTGTGCTTTAGGCTACAGGTCAAGGCACGTATAGGTACAATTTCCTACACCAGGAAATTCCAAATGAACAGTTCCAGTTGGAACCAATATATAAGCCAATTCCTGTTGGAATTTGGGTAAATTGACTGGAAAGTCTACTTGAGCATGTTGCATTCACTTTAAAATAATAACCTGGACAGGAATATGGGTGGGGGGGGGGGGTATAGAAAAAAGGATGTTTAATTGTTTAATACGAAAAAAAAACTATACATTTATTTTTACTATAGAGTATAAATGCAGATTTCATAATTCTATACTAGAAAGATGGTGTCACATTCTGAAATAACTTTTACAACACATAAGAGGATGTCATTTAAAATATACAAAATCCGTTACACAAATGCTCAGATGTTTGATGTTTCTTTGTGTGTTTTGATGAGGGCCCATACCTTTTGTAGCTTTGGAGTAGTCTTCAGGTATCCGGTGAAGTTAGCTAGTGCAATAAGTCATAGTGGCCAGTGAGAATATATCGGTCACTAATATGACAGTAAGTCGAAATCTGATTGGTTGCCACACTTCTTTGCCCTGCTTTACTTTATTACAGGTGAATTCCAATCAAAACAGATTTTTTTTCTACGTTAGGATGAATATTGAACTGCTGAACCATGCACTGTCTTCTTATATCTCTCAGAGATTCCAACAGTAACATTCTGAGCTACACGTTCTGGATTGGTACCTTCTCTGCATGGAATCTCGCTCCAGCTGAACCCTCCCTAATTCTCTCCATATGCAAATATTGCATTAGGAGGGTTGTGAACATGTTGTGCAGGAATTTTGTCAGAGATAAAAGAAGATGGCAAGTATTTCAGCTTTCTTGCAGCTATCCAAAATTGGTTGGACTGAAGCCCCCAGGAAAGCCTTTTATACAAAACAATAATGGTGAACGTCTTGGTGACATAATCATGTTAGAAGACTTTGGCTTGACTTTATACTCATGGGTTATTTTGTATCTAGATAGACAGGGGTGGAAGTTACCATATATAATATCACAGGAAGTTGAGAGCCTTGTGTCTCCAATGCCATGGGTTGAGGACCACCAGTTTAAAGGATATTGGCTGTAATGGACAACTCAGCTTAAATTTAGATTGAAGCCTTTCAGGTAAAAGAACCAAGATAGAGATACAAAATGTGTTTGCTGATTCAGAAAATTTATGTTTACTATTCCTAAGTGCAAAAAAAAATATTTTTTGTTAATGTATACTTTATCATCTGGAGGTATCAAAAATTCAGGAAAGCACCAAGGCTATAATTAGCCAGGCATTCAGGGATACCGAATAATTAGCTTTAGTTGTGTTTCTCAGTGATTGCCAACCCCAGTATGCTTTAAGGATAGCAGTGTCACATTAAATTACACCTAGGTCCTATATACCACTCGGCAGCCAGAAGTTTAGAAGAAAGCAAACTATAAATTTCCTAAGAAGTCACAACACTTGTGTGAGTATGTTTTAATGCCCATAAACATAGGTAGTACGAATTGTGGTTAATGCACTATAGGATATGTGTTCATTCACTTTTATGGCACCCCAATGTGTGTAGATATTTAAAATAAAAGCACCTGACCCTCGGCGCACACCAACACACGCTACTGCGTGACACAAGACAAAAAAAATAATTTGGTGGCATTTCTCCGGTCTGTGTATGCATGTTGAGGGCCCATAGAAAATTGATGGGACTGTTCAGTGCAATCTGACACACAAGTGTAAATAGGCCCTAAAGGCTTGCTTCACAGCTTACCCACTATGGCTAAAGTCATTGTACAAAGTGCAGTAGCCATTAGCACTGCACTTTGTTGAATAGCCTGCTTTGTGGTGTTGACAACAGCTGTCACCTATAGCAATAGAGAAAGGCCTATAAACATCTTGGTTTCTATGGGCTGTTGAACATATATGCCTTTTCCACTTTTTATTTAAAGAGGCCTTTATGCACAGAATTTAATTAGGAGACAGGAACTTTTTAAACTAAAATTTTAACTATTTCTGCATTTTGGGGTATGTGACATTTTTGTGTTCCTGGCTAAACTAGATATCATCTTATAGCTTCTATCGGGGGGGCTTTAACACTCAAATGCAAAAAAAAAGACATGCAGTAACCCGTAGCTCCACTCAGAATTCACTTCGCTGACATAGTATCACTCAAGCTTAATGATGGTGATTCATTGTTCTGGGTACAAAATACTATCCTGTGTACTTTTGTTGCAAAGGGCAGTTGGCAAATTGTGGCAACCCATAACTGCCAGTCAAAAGTCACCTTTACAGATTTGTCTTAGAAAATTAAAGGGAACCTGTGTTGATAGAAATATAGAGTGCTGCCATATGTGACTGTTTTATTAGAAAATGCTAATTGCCTGACTGGAATGTGCATTTAATGACTTTGGTACTTTTTGAGCTAGGGTAAGAGGGTAGATGTGGGATTCTGACTTTAACTGCTTGCTGACCACGCTATAGCCAAAAGATGGCTGCAGCATGGTAATTTAGTTCTGGGAGGCTGTCCATGGACGTCCTCCCAGAACCCTGCTCCCCCAGATGTGCTCTGTCATCGCTGTGTCCTTTGGACACAGCTGATCACAGGGGGTAAAGAACCAATCACAGTGGGCCATTACCATGTGGTCAGCTGTTTCTAATCACAGCTGATCACATATAAACAGACACAGCGTGTGAGGAAAGGAAAGCCGATAACCAGCAAGACACTACATGGATTACATCAGTGCCCTGATTATCAGTGCAGCCCCATCTGTGCCAATCAATGCCCATCAGTGTCGCCTATCACTGCCGCCTATCAGTGTCGCCTCATTAGTCCACATCAATGAAGAAGAAAAATTACTTATTTGCAAAATTTTATAACAGAAACAGGTTTTTTAAAAAACATTTTTGGTCTTTTTTCATTTATTTAGCAAAAAATAGCCCCATCTGTGCCAATCAATGCCCATCACTGTCGCCTACCAATGCCCATCACTGCCGCCTATCAGTGCAGCCTCATCAGTGCCCATCAGTGCAGCCTCATCAGCGCAGCCTCATTAATGCACATCAGTGGAACCTATCAGTGTCCATCAATGCAGCCTCATCAGCGCATATCAATGAAGAAGAAAAATTACTTATTTGCTAAATTTT